GTGGGGGGGGGGGGGGGAGAGACGGGACTAATTCAGGACCTTGAGCATCACCTTGAACCCAAGTTGCTGATAAAGTTATTGATGCTGCTGCTCTCGATGTAGAGTCACAGAGTCTAGCTAAAGTACTTCACAGATATCTCATCTGACTGCAGTGCCTTTATCTCCCAGTCTTTGCTTGGGGGGGTTGGGCGGGGGGACTCTCCTTACTATCTTAATTCTGAGGAGTCTCTCTCATTCCCTTTTCTGGATCACCTCAAAGCTGAAAAGGCAGAATTTCCCCCTTCTGTTGAGCCCATCGTTTCCCATCTTTTACTCAGAACTCAGCTCTGAGTCTCTTGGCAGGAGCAGAACTTTGCAAGAAGCTCCGTTGGAAACGTGTTTACACTCATCTTAGCACAGCAACCAGGAGCCCCAAATGTCAAGAATGAATGCGGAGACAAAACTCAAAGCCCGTGGCAGTCTGGGGTTCACCATGTTGTTCCCAGAACATAGGGCTGAGTATTGAGAGGCCTTCACTGCCTGTCTCTGCACCAGCTGCTAACACACTCTCTTTCCTTTCTCATTTCAAAAGCAAAAGGGGAAATGGGAACAGAGACCATTGTTCTTCCTTGAAATCTCTGCTACTAGCCTGCGCATGACACCTCTCATCACATTTTCTAAATGCTTCCCAAACAGCCAATTGGTTTCTTAATTTCCTGGTTTGGAGTCTTTTTATCCTAAAATGGATACAGGCCTTCAAGGAGCTAATCCAATACACAACTATTAATGAAAATCATCACTTCCTTTTGTTAAGCACCCAGTATACAGCATATCCAGGGCTATATGCAGAGTCCCTTTATATCCTCGAGTTCCTCCTCTTGACACGTTTACCTCATCTCCAAAGACTCTGCCTCCTTGGTTTGACACTAGGATCAGTATCTCTGAGCTTTGAAAAGCTACTGGCCACCATTACTTTTTCCTAGACGTTTCAGTGCTATGCTAGCTTGGTGAGACAGCGTTGAGCAGAGACATCCACAAAGATATCACTTCTTAACCAGGCCTGTTTATCAGCATTGCCTGGAAAGGTAACACACACTTACCAGTGCTCCACCATTATGCAAGTCTGATGAGTCATAGTGGGATGCAGTTTGTGTGTTTTAGCAAAGTGGGGGGTGGGGAAGGAATGTGAACACGCACCCTGCTTAAGACTCACTGCCCCCAAGCAACAAGTCTCAGTGGGGGCCACGAAGGGGGTTCAGATGACCTGAGGACTTTTCTCAAGCCAGCCTGAGCTAGGAAGAATGGGCCCCAGATTGAGAATCAGTGCCCTGGTGGGTCAGCTAGGAGGGTGTCATAGTCCTCCAGGGATCTGGGCAGAACAGTTAAGAGCTGTTGTAAATATGGAGGTTGACTCTGATGGCCTGAGAATGAGTCAGCTCTGGGCACACAAATAGAGGTCCATTAATAAAAATAAATACTATGTATTAGCACTGACCCCTGTCAGGCAAAATGCTGAGCAGTTTATGTACCAGATATTTAATGTTATTCCCCAAACAACCCTAATATGTAGCTATTATTACTTGCCTTTGCAGATGGGGAAAACAAGTACCTGAGAGGCTAGCTTAGCCTGTCCAAGTAATCAGCAGCAGGGTAATACCTGGACCCCATGTTTCCTGATTGTAAGCCAAATAAGATCTCTAACTCCCTCTGCCACACGACAGGGGGACCTGCAAGAGGTCCATCAGGAATGAGAGCAGTGACCAGCCGGCCTGCATCCCTGAGCTCCTCATCCATGCTTGGCTCCTAGGGCAGCACAGGATGCATTCTTTCATTCCACATATAATCCTGCTGCATTGGAGGAAGCATCAGACACAACACTTCCCAACAGCCAACCTGCTGGACAGCAAGCACTACACTAACTGGTTGTGCAACCCCAGGATTGCTAGCCTCCCCTTGGTGGGAGCAGCCACTCCCTCTCCTGGCTGCCTGTAAATGTTTCTTCCATAGCTTGGGTGAACCCTTATTGCACTAGCTTATCTGTTCATTTGTATGATAATCTAGTGAGGAAAAAGGGCGACCCTGACCACCTTTGTATTCCCAGAGCATACCCAAAACAGGTTTCTTAAAAATCAAATTTCCTCCTGGTTCGTGTGGCTTAGTGGTTGAGCATTGACCCATGAACCAGGAGATCACTGGATCAATTCAGGGTCAGGACACATGCCCAGGTTGTGGGCTTGATCCCCAGTAGGAGGCGTGCAGGAGGCACATGATCAATGTTTCTAGCTCTCTATCCCTCTCCCCTCCTCTCTCTCTAAAATCAATAAAAATATATGAAAAGAAAGTTAACAATATGGTCAAATAAGTCTTTTTTTATTAAAAAGATGACAATAAATTTCTGGAATCTACTCCTATTACATCTGCAATTAAAGTGTCAGGCAAAACGACACCAAAATACAACCTGACTAGCTTACTTTTTGGTGTGTGTGTGTGTGTGTGTGTGTGTGTGTATTTTAAGACTTGACTAAGAAAAAGCCTTAATAGCTTGGACTCCTAGGCTGATATAACCCTCACAAACAGTAGTTTGGACACATACTAGTACACCCACAATCAGGCTACACACCCACACAGAGAGACCTTAAACACACCCTCAGCCATCTGAACACAATGAGCAGGTGGGGAACACAATGTTCCCACTGCCGTCCATGCCGTGTGCACAGCTGGAACTAAACATATGTCAAGTGGCTGTATTGCAGACACAGAGGATGGGGATGGGGGTGGGGGGCACTCACTAGGAAAATAATCTATTGCTTCCTTTAGCTATTATTCAATTCCTTCACTTTCTTGTATCTGTGCTGGAGCCCTTTTGGAATCACACTGTCACTGAAGGCAAATGTAAGCTAAAAGCAAAGCATGGACTGCAAGAGTGTTGTCGTGGGAACTGCCTTAAGTACCACCATCCATTTCTCATCACTGCCAGGCCAATCCCACTATACTATACTCACAAGTGAAGTCCTGCCACCACCTTCATCGACGAGATTCTGAAGTGCTGGCCCATCCTGCCCAGCCTGGAAGATTAGCCTGGTGTTTTCTGTCTCTGCAAGAGCCTCTGGGGCAAGACCAGGAAGTCAGCAGTCTGCCAGGATCATCTCTACCTTCAGGATGCCAACAAAGTTTGGGCTCCCATCTGACTCTTTGCTGCTGCTCAACCCCGCAGGACATGTTTGTGTTTCCACTGAAATGTGAGAACTGTGCACACATATGAATCTACCATCCCCTCCTGCAGGCCTTCAGGCGGGCCCTCACAAATACGCAACCCTTCCCCCCCAAATCCAGGTGAGTTATCTTGCCTGCTGTGTTCAGAAGCATAAGGAAAAGCAAAGCTTGAAAGTCATGATGAGTGATATTCTCAGGCATAACAGGTGAGCCAGATCCACTGGCCCTATTAATTGTCGCCAACATTAATAACTCCTGAACTAACATCCCATTAATCTGATTAGGTAAGGTGAATCACCCTTCACATTTACTCAAAGAAACCAAGGAGACAGAGTTCCCAAAACACACACACACACACACACACACGGTGGTCTGACTATCACGGCTCCCTAGAAATGATTTCTTTTTTTCTATTCTCCTTAGTTAATGACAAAGCTCAAGGTCCTCCATCCTAAAGGGAACCCCGCCTGGGGAGGCATTCAAGTCATGAGTCAGAGCTTTGGAGCAAAACCAACCTGGGTTCTGGTCCTGTTTCTGTCACGTAAGCATTGTATTAACTTTCTGGGCCCATTTCCTCATATGGAAATGGGGGAAATACTTGTACACACCTCATGCACATCCTTAAATGAAGATTAAATGAGCAAATACATGGAAAATACATAACATAGTGTTTGATATTTAATAGGCGCCCATTATGCATTGAGAGCATTTTAGTTGGCAACACTTTCTCCTTTATTAATTTGAATTTTCCTCGGACATGCAAATAGATCCTAAGATTGCCCAACTTAAAGTTTGACAGCTAATTAATAAATTAGCATGAGAAATAATAATTAAAAACATGAAAGTGGAAAAAAAAACATGAAAGTGGGAAAATATGGCTTTAATGGGTTTTAATAGGTATCTCTTTGTATGAAAAGCAAAGGAGGGGGTGGAGATCAAAGGTTTTGGAACAGTTCATAATATGTAAGGATACACGCAGTTACTTACATTATTAGCTACCAAAGAAGAGGCACAACGATCACGGAAGTTCAAATTGGGCAGGCTGGGCTGAGGGACACCCACACAGTGCACGAATTTCATGCACTGGGCCTCTAGTAGTATATAAAAGTTATTAAATAACTGCCAGGTTCTTAGATATAAGCAAACTCTTCAACTTAGATTTGTTTGTATATTTTAGAATTGTATATTTTAAAAAGCTGGCATTTACTACATGGCATTCAAATGTATTAGAAAAGCTGGAGAAATGCAATCTCCATGAAGTGTGTATAAGTACATATGTATGTGTATATATGTAAAATGAAAAAAGTAAACCTTATCACTCAGGTATCTCACCTATGATGTAGTAAGACTGCTTATGCCCTGGGGAAGTAACAGGATAGTTATTACTGTACAAAAACAGAAAGCTAGAACAATTTTGCTTTTAGTTTTCATCTTCAATCTAAATAAGGTAGGGGTTACTTAGAATTCTTGACTATACAATATTCTTTTGAAGTTGACATCAAAGGCCAAAACGTGTAGATTTCTTATTTGCAACTAAGCTAATGTTCACAAAAGTAAAAAAGGTCATCAAGCATTTTAATGGAAAATGGTAATCATTCTAAACCCAGTTCATCCCTAACTCTCCATGTTAATATTTTATTTTCTATAAACCAGTCTATGAGTATTTTTTTTTAAGGCAACCATATTCTCAATTGCCTCAGGATGGCCCTTAATAAGCAATAACAGGAGGTGTTTTGTTTGGAGGTTAGGAAAATTGAACTCTGAATGAAATCAGCTATTCTTAACTTTTTAGAAGATTACTCAAATATGTGTGAAATCCATTAGACTGTGACCTCAATAGCAAGTGTTTGACAAGCTATATGATAAACGTTTTATACTAAGTAGTGCTACTTACAAGGCATATAATAAATAAAATTCAGCAAAAACAATGATCCTCCAAAATCAACACCAGGAACTTCTTTACAAATCAATCACCTGCCTGACTTAAAACACAAGTTCACTTCATTTGTTTTCTCCATTATGTTTTGACTATCTCCCATATTCATAAATATGTACTCACATACATGGTATGCCTACACTTCAGAAACTAAAAGGCTAATTCCAAGCATTCTGAATACTTCTGCCACAGCAAATTTGGACATTTAGATGCTTAAACACTGTGCATTAAAATTCCCTAAGATATAGCCCTGGTCAGTGTGCTAAATGGTTAGAGCATCAGCCTGCACACTGAAGGGCATGGGTTCGATTCCTGTTCAAGGGCATGTACTTGAGTTATAGGTTCAATCCCTGGCTCTGGTCAGGCTCATGCGGGAGGCAATCAATGTGTCTTTTTCACATCGATGTTTCTCTCTCTCTACCCCTCCCTTCCACTTTTCCGCTCTAAAAATCAATGTACAAAATATCCTTGGGTAATGATTAACAAAAACCACACAAAACTCCCTAAGATATAAATAATATTAAAATTAGGTTTTCTAATTGTTTTTCAAAGTCATTGATAAAAACTAAAAAAAATTCAGGCATTCAGATTCTTATCTCTAATCTCAAGAGGGAAATTTAAAGTAACCATATATTCAATCAGGTGATATCTTTAAAAAGATTTGGACATACACATTGCTCAATTTGAAGGTAATATTTATAAGATATGCTAACTCATTCAATATTATAGTGTTTGTAATTTAAAGGAAATCAGTTTTTTAAATCTCATTAAAAAAACAATAGTATGAGCTGATAGTCTGATCACTTAACAGATCTTTAAAGAGCCAATAATCTAGTCACTTAATGATATTCTTTTTGAGTCAGAATTTTCTTGTGTATATTTTTGAATTATGACCCTCCCAAATATAGACATTTTCTTCCTAGGCCTGATTTTTGCTAGCAGGGCTAAACCCATGGAAATCTAGTTCTTCAGTTAGACCAGTCAAGCTAGTCCTGTTCAAAGATGAGTTAAAAATAAGTGTATAGACTTGACCAGTTATCTCAAATCTAATCTACTCCAAAAGATTTATAAAGCTAAATAATAAAAAGGGAGAAAGACCACCATAAATCAGTTGATTAAATAATTAGAATATGGAAAGGAACAAACAATAACTTTTTTTCATAAAGAAAAACAGGTGACATTTCTAGAGGTAAGATTTAAGGGACTCAAGTAAGAATAGGACTCAAATAAGAATATAATCAATCATATAAGTCTATTGGAAAGACCATGAAGACCTGCCCATAACTATCCTTATCTGGCATCCTCCACCCAATTCTTCAGGGAAATAAGATAGCACACCAGCCCAACCTGAACGAACACTTACGTGTCATCTGTTTCAGGGCTGAAAACCAATTGTGGAGAAGAGTGGCCATAAACTAGGATCACTGTTCAACATGCTTTTGTGATGACAGACACATTCTGTATCTACACTAATGTAATAGTCACCAACCACGGTTACCGAGAACTTGATGTGATTAGTGTAACCAAATTTTAAAAGCCACATGTGGCGAGTTAGTGGCAACTATTTTGTATAGTGCAGATCCTAGAAAAAATAGTGTGGGAAGTAAAATACTGAAGAATATACTGAGAAGTTAGAAGAATTGAACTTAATAAAATTGGCTGTTCTATTTACTAATTATTTATTTTCTTCCCACTTCTTTTATAGCAACTTCTCAATTTCTGCAGGCTCCTCCCTAAGTACCCAAAAGTTAAATGTTGGTGTTGATCAGGATTCCATCCTAGGGGATTCTATCCTTTTCCCATTCTACCTGCTCTCCCTAGAAAATTCTTGCTTCAATTATAATTTATATGCTAGATCATGTTTTCCAACCTAACCTTCCAAGCACTGGATTTAACTATCCAAATGCTTACTTGGCGTCACCAATTAATGTCCTGCAGGTACCAGAACACATCCTCTCCTTACATCCAAACTAAAAGAACCTGGTCCTGCTGCCAACTTCCATACATCCAGATGTTTATGCCGTAATTTTGGGAGTAACCTTGATTCTCTAACTCAGCTTTTCCAATCAGTCATGAAGTCTCACTAATACCTCTTTCTAAGGCTCCCTTCAATGTCTTTCTTTTCATCCCCAATGCTACAATCCCAATCAAAGCCATGGTTACCTCTTGCCTAGATTACTCCATCAGGCTCTCCACCTGACTGCTTGATCTCTAGTTTTGATTCCCTTCAACTCATTCTTCTCAAACTTAAAAAAAAAAAAAAGGACATATCAAAGGATCTTAAGAGTAAAGATGAAAATTAATCAAGTTGTGCAAAGGACTAATTATGTTACCTTCCCTGATAAATTTTCTTCAGCCAATTAAATAGTTCCAACTTGAAAGGTCTCCTTACCCTTATAGCTTTTGTTCTTATGAACACTTAAAAATACAAATAATGTTTAGTCATTAAACTTCCACTTTTAGTTACCAAGACATAGTAAACAGCAGAAAGGACCTTATGAATGGTTACGAAACACCACAAAAAGCATTTTCTTCATGAAGGCTGAGAATTGGGAAATCACCTCTACTAAATCAGTGTTTCCATAATAGGACAGTCTTCATTATATACTAGAGGCCTGGTGCACGACATCCGTACACTGAGGGGGGGGCGGCTGGAAAGTAGGGGGGTTCCCTCAGCCCGGCCTGCTCCCTCTTGCACTTCAGAAGCCCTCAGGGGCTTCTGGCCGAGCAGCACTCCCCCTGTGGGAGCGCACTGACCACCAGGGGGGCAACTCCTGCTTGAGTGTCTGCCCCCTGGTGGTCAGTGCACATCATAGCAACTGGTCATTATGCTGTTTGGTGGATCTGCATACTAGCCTTTGATTATATAGTATTCTTTATGTATTCCCTTTAAAAAAAAAAAGAGCCCTGGCCAGTGTGGCACAGATGGTTGGAGCATCATCCCTGTACACCAAAAGGTGGCAGGTTCAATTCCTGGTCAGGGCATGTATGGGAGGCAACCAATTGATGTTTCTCTCTCCCCATCTCTTCCTCTAAGATTAAAAAAAAAACAAACACACAAACACAACCAGTTTTGAATGTTGTAAATAATAAACAATATAATTATATTGCATTGCTTAGTTCCACATTTTTGTGGTTCAATGATATTGCACAGATTTCATGGGCAACTTAAGTTACATGCAAAATTGGAAAAACTTTTAAAAGTCTCAATGGCAAAACATTTACAAATACATTATTTATACTGAGTACCTTACTACAGAATGACTAAAGAGGTAAAAGAATTTCTAGCCAAAATAATCATTAATTCAATTCAGGTTAGAAATGTATTTTTTTTCAAGGCTATTTACACCTTTTAGCTTTGTAATTCAAAATAGCTAAGTATGTACCACACCACAAAATCTGTTAAACATCAGGGGAAGTTTCCTCTTTAATAGGAGAAAGGTAAAAATTGTTAAATGTTTTTAGATACCACTTTTGTAGTTTTTTGTAGAGTTTTTCTCTCTGCACTTTATAAACTGTGTGCTTTGCAAATTATCGTGTAGCTTATTAAAAACAAGTTATAACATGCAAATTACAATATAATCAAAGGACACTATTCATTATACAAAATATTTTGTTACATTCTTATCTAGCAATTATAAGACTGAACTCTGATAAAATGAGTTTTGAGGTAAGAAAATCACTAAATGAGGAAAAATTATACATGAGTATACTGTTCTATTAAAACATATATTAAAATAAATTGAGTCATACACATTTTCTTTAGTGGTAGACACCAGGTTTTAAGTGATAGCTAGATAACTAGACTTACTGAAGAGTAATGTCCACAAAATCATAAAAAGTAAAAGGTATTGACAACAAATGTGAATGTTATTTGTAGATTAAGCCTGATCAGACCAGTAGGTTAAATTCTCTACATAAATAATACCAGTAATGATAAACAATAAATTAGATGACTTATGAAATATAATGGTCACAGATAAAGCACCTATAGACTCTAATTAGGTTTCCTAAGTAAGATAATTTTTATTAGTACCTGTAACATATTAAATGCTTATAATGTCACTGAAATATTACTCAATTATTAATAGAATTGTTAGGCTAGAGCCCTAATAATCTGCATGAAGACAGAATCTCCCATTAGCCCACTAGTACCATTGTGCAATTTAGAAGGGGGAGAGAAATGATCTTTTCTGAAGACTCTTTACTTCCATCTCTCAGAAATTTGACATAATATACTGTTAGAATAAGGCACTTTATTGCCATTTGCTAAAAAACTTCCATAATAAAATACAAATCTGTGAATAAATTCCCCCATACAGTGGTGGTGATGTACTCTGCACAACCTGCAAGACCTGCACCTGACAGCCTTGTCTGTACTACTTTTAGTAGTGGACAC